AAGCCTCACACTATAAGGTGAATAACATACTCAGTCCATAGAGTTTCTGGGAAATTATCAAGCAATTCTATTTTTTAAAAAAATATATTTTTATTGATTTCAGAGAGGAAGGGAGAGGGAGAGAGATAGAAACATCTATGAGAGAGAATCATTGATTGGCTGTCTCTTGCACCCCTCTACCCCCTGCCCCACTGGGGATTGAGCCTGCAACCAGGACATGTGCCCTGACTGGAATCCAACTATGACCTCCTGGTTCATATGTCTATACTCATCCAGTGAGCCACACTGGTCGGGCTATCAAGCAATTTAAAAATTTTATTTGCTGTTATTGTTAACTATTGTTACTTTTTAATTTAAGTAGAACATTATCTTCTTTCAAAAAAGAAAGGTGATAGTTCACCTAGTGGGAAAATATGATTTAATTATGACTATTTTCATTAAACTTATAACTGAGTTTTCCCAGAGAATTTCAGAGTGAGGACTTCAGTAAACCTCCAAAATCTTCATTTTATAGTGTACTAAACTCTACCACTTATTTTCCTAAATTGTGTCTAGATCCCCTGGGTCAATAGAATGTGTATCCCAGATGCCCCATAAGAAGGGTAGCTTTAGTAGGCATGTTGACATTATTTGTACAGAGTAATAGAGTATAAAGGATCAGAAAAGTTTTGGCATTTACCTTGTTAAATTTTTATAGCTAAGCTCTGGTTCAAGGGTCTACTTAAACGACTTAACTGCACTAAGAAAAATAGGAGCATTGAGACCAATGAAAAGAGTCCACAAAATTCTATGAAAATGACCCAATTCTAGCAGAAATAAGTATGTTTAATGATCCAAGATACACAACTGGAACATTGACTAGCTTTATTGACCTCAAGGAAATTCACACTTTCCCCTAGAAGGACAAAAATCCCAGGGATATCCTTCTTTATTATATTATCAAAAAATGGTTCAAATACATTTAATTCCATTTCAATTTTTGAATGCTTATTATATAGTAAGCCTTGCAAAGGCCAAAGGAGCACAGTGGTTTACAAGGCACAGTTCCTGTTCAAGGTGTCCTCAGTTATAAGCAGGGATGGGGCATAAAAATAGGCAATTTCAATAAGATGATATGTTATGCAGGATCAATTAGGAATTCTCTCAAAAAGTCAGAAATTCACATTGGATCCATGTTGCCTTGTCTCTGAGAAGGCAATGAAGGGTGCTTTTATGAGTCACCACATTCCTCACTTGCTTCACTCATTTTTATAACCTGTTAGGCCCTGGAGGCATTTGTGTTTGTCAGAGGAACCACAAAATTAAATGTGCGCTAATACATTAGTCTGATTGATATTGGAGATATCAGGACTGGAGGCAGATGCATTATTTAGGACATTCCTTTATTTGGGAAATCTATACAAGTAATGAGGTTGTGGTGGGAGACAGAGAAAAGAAGTTAGCATTCCTACAATGGCATATGACCTAAAATGAGATAGAGGGAAGCATAAAGGATGGCATTCTATTTGCCAGGTTAATCAAATTGTGAATTGTTTCAGTTAAGGATAAGCAAGAAACAGACACCAAGAAGGAATTAGACCTGCAAGAATTTTTTTGGTGGAAATGCTTAAGGAGGTTTGGGACAGGGAATAAGCGAAGGCATAGGGAGCTTGTAGATTGAAATACACATCTGAAACCGATGTATGGAGAGACCAAAGGAGGGAGGATTGGATAGGAAGCTCAGACTGCTGTGGACCTCTGAGAAAAACCTCAGCCAGGATGATTAGAGCATGAGATCCAAGATCGCTTATTACAAAATCTGTCACTTGAGAGGAAATGAATGCACTTTAGTACTTTCACTATGCTCCATGTGCTGGGGTAAATTATGCTTGGGAGTTTGAAACTACAACAGCTTGGGGTTGTCAGCTAATTGCTCTTCTAGTAAGTTCTCTCTTGAAAGGATATTTGAATAGTTGACACCAGTAGAAGTATTAGAATCAAGTAAAAAGGAAAACGAGTTAAAAACGGTTGTCTCTATGGAGTAAGAAATAGGTGAAGTTAGCAAGAGATTGATGATTTCTTAATAGCATTTTAGAACTATCTGCCTTTACATATTACATATGTAAGTGAAAATGAGTTGTGGCAGAGGTTGCTATATAGATTCCAAAAACTTTCCCTTTTCATTTAGGCACACTACTTCTCCCACATTAAGTACAGCAATATGATTGATCTCTAGCTAATAGAAGAAGAGAAGTGATATGTGCCACTCATAAGCAGTGCTCATAAAATCAGCCAGACAACCACTCCCTTCAGTTTTACTGGCTGAAAGAAGATCTTAAGGCTTTATACTCACCAGAAGATGGAGAGAGTATGGGATCTGAATCATTGAAGCAAGGCCACCTGGCAACTACTTTGGGTTATTCTGTGTTTAAAATGATGGTGTTTCTTTTTTTTTTAAGCTGATGACATTTGGAATTTAACTATCATAGCAGCCAGAATTAACTTATGAAAGATGATCCAAGATAAAGATATATATACTAGCAGCCCTATGCATGAAATTCATGCATGGGTGTGTGTGTGTGTGTGTGTGTGTGTGTGTGTGTGTGTGTGTTCCTCAGCCTGGCCTGCACCCTCTCCAATCTGGGACCCCTCGAGGGATGTCTGACTGTCGGTTTAGGCCCAATCCTGGCAGTTGAACATCCCTCTTGCAATCCGGGACTGCTGGCTTCTAACCACTCACCTGCCTGCCTGCCTGATTGCCCCTAACCATTCTGCCTGCTGGCCTGATTGCCCCCAGCTGCCCCCCCTTCCGTCTGATCACCCCCAACTGCCCACCACCCACCGACCTGATCACCCCTAACCTGCCTCTACCTCGGCCCTGCCACCATGGCTTTGTCCGGAAGGACATTCGGAAGGTCTCCTGGTCTAATTGGCCTATTACCCTTTTATTAGGATATATATATATATATATATATATATATATATATATATATCTATATATTTAAAAAGATATATAGATCTTTACATAGTGTCAAATACACCTTTTACCTTTGAATTTTATCCTTTTCTTTGAGTTTATTTTTTGTTGTTTATTGAGTTTAGAGACAGAGGAAGGTGGAAGGGAGAGGGAGAGGGAGGGAGGGAAGAAAGGAGGGAGGGAGAGAGAGAGAGAAACATTGAGTTTGGAGCTAAACAAAAAAATTCAAAGATATCTATTAACTTATTCAGGTTTGGCTAACACCATCAATTTATCAAGTTCATAATGTTAAATTAACTTCTCCTTATTCCCTACTTCTACTAGTGGTGCCATTATTCCCACAAATACCCAGAACCTATATTTTATGGTTTTCTTTGATTCCTACCTTTTGATCAATTATGTCAAATTGGCAAGTCCTGTTAACTCTCCCTTCTTCATGTGTTTGTGCATCTATTCCATTTTTCAAATACTATTACCACCACCCTAGAGCAGCAATTTTCCACCTTTTTCATCTCATGGCACACATAAACTAATTACTAAAATTCTTCAGCACACTAAAATATATATTATATTTTTTGCTGATCTAACAAAAAACGGGTATAATTTTGATTCATTCATACTGGATGGCTATTTTTATGTTGGCTGTTGTCACTTTTTATTTGACAATCTAAGGGAAAATAGGTCATTGTCCCTGACTAAATAGTCAGGTATTGCATGTTATTTTTTAAAATCCTCACCTGAGGATATGTTTATTGAGTTTAGAGAGAGAGGAAGGGAGAGAGAGAGAATGAGAGTGAGAGAGCAACAGAGAGAGAGAGAGAGAGAGAGAGAGAGAGAGAGAGAGAGAGAGAGAGAGAGAGAGAGAAACATTGATAGGTTGCCTCCCACTCAGGATTGAACCCACAAACCAGGTATGTGCCCTGTACGGAATGGAACCCACAAGTTTTTTGGTGTATGGACCAATGTTCCAACCAACTGAGCCACCCTCCAGGGCAGGTATTACATGTTTTAAAAGTTCTGTGGCTCACCAGTGTGCCTGCCTTGACACACAGGTTGAAAATCACTGCTCTAGAGTAAGTGCATAGCTTCATGCCTCCAATACCAAAACAGATTTCCAATATCATTTGTTTTACTTATCCCACAGCTTTTCCCAAAATCACTTTTGCAAATAGCCACTGGCACTGGCCCCAGATAATTTTTGGATTACAGTAGCCATTATATTATGGAAAGACCACAGAGTACGAAGACGCTAATTTGAAGTAACTTTTTTTTCTATTCACTGGGGTGACCTTGGGAAGAATTCCATTACTTGATTCCATCATCTACTAAAGGGGATCTCTTCACAGGATTGCTGCAAAGATTTGGTACCTTGTAAATGGTGATAGCAAAGCACCTGTCTCATCTGAGTGCATAATGTATCTTTATTAAATGAATAAACATGTTCTTCTTTACCTATTTCCTTTTACTTAGTTAATCTGCTTACAGATTATCCTTGCCTCCTCTCAACATTTTCGAATTCTATTTCTCTTTCAAGGCAAGCTCAAATCTGACATTTTATGATCTTTCCTTACCTATTTCTACCACTATGGGAATGTGGATCACAGGTGTTATCTGGCCTTACATTGTGAGTTAGCTTTTGGGTTTTCATGTACAATGGTTTTTCTTTAAGTAGATTGCACTACTTTGACTCGTGACCTACTTTCTACAAAGTATCAGGTGTTTTTTAGAGTGTTTTCTGAAATTGTGGTTGTTTGTTTTTTATTTGTTTTATTTGGCCTGTTTAGAATTCCTTCCTTTTTTCATAAATGATACTCTGGCTTTTTGACATAACCTACTCTGACACCTCTAAACCCGTTAGGTCAATGATCCCACATAACCACACCCACTACATCCAAGAGCATAACATGAATCCCTCCTCACTAAAGGAGAAAAAAGAAACAGAAGCACATTCTTCATGACTTATATAAATTTCATTATTTTGTTGTTTAAATAAGCACAAATTTTAATAATATATTTAAAAGTTTCAAAGACCACTTCTGTATTTCAATCTGTAAAAAATATTTTCATTATGTTTATTATAAAAATATAAATGTTCCCACTACAAATCATTTTACATTAGTAAGAGGCCATCTACATTGTACAACATAAACTAAATGAGTAATGTTTTGAAAAGACAAGTTTAAAGTAAATACATATTTTCAATCATATCACATTTATACATGGTTTTGTTGATACTTAGTACAGCATAATCTGGGCAAGGTACCAGAAATAAATAATATATGTAAATCAAGTTTACGATACAAAACAGATAATATGGTACATACCATTGTATGGAGATATGGTTTCATGTTTATGGAAAGTCAATGCAGTTCTTGTACAAAGAGATGGCCATCAGCATCTAGTACCTCTACTGCACAGTTAAGAATCGTACACTGTTATGTTTACATATGTACAGGATAAGAATTGTGTAAAGTAAATGTATAAGAGGTCGGGTAGAAAAATAGTGAACAAAATGAAGAGCAATATACTGTGTATATGACTTCTACTTTCAAATGGAAACCATTGCCAAAATAACAATCCTCAACTTCTATCATGAAATGCACAGATTTCGTTGAGTATGCTCAGAATACAAAAGTAAATGCTAGTCTGGGATAAAATGAGATTAAAGCCAGAATTAGGTTTTAGTCTAACATTCCACAACTCAAAATTTTGATTAAAAATGGTTTTAGCTGCTTCTAGGCTTAAGTTAAATTTGTAATTAATGTTATCATTGCATATAACTTTATAAAAATTCATGCTCTTATATATCCAATATAAAATTCTAGTTGGATGATTTGACTGTAAGGATTTTTGCCAAATTTAAGAAATAATCTCATATGTGAAGGATCACAACCTAAGCCTTATTACAGTAAACTTACAACATATTAGCACTTGTGAATTTTGATCTGATTGTAAGCTACATAATGTTCCATTTAGCATAAAAACATAAAGTTTGCAGTATTGTTTTATCCATTGTATTCTTATGACATATGCATTTATTATCCTCATGAAATGATCATATCAGCATTAGAAGATATAGATAGAGCTACAATGTTTTAGTGGCTAGATCTGTACCAGGTACAGCTTTTCAAATATTACTGATTATGCTCATATTTGACCTTTATGAAATAGTAAGTCTAAGTTCCCACAATGAGAGATCTCTCCACTGCCTACAGATTTTGAATCATTTGCTAGATAACCATTTTATGTATTTCAAAAATAAAACTGTTTATGTAAAGTAATTTAATGCTTCTAATTTATACACTAACATTACAACAGGTGCATTTCAGTGAAAGACTCTTTAAGATAACAATACCTGCTATAGATTATTACAAAGTTTAATTAATTAAACTAAACTCCCATGATTCAGATGAGTAGTTTAGTTATAATCATTAGCTAAAAACAGCTCAGCAATTATAAGCTAAGATATTGAGTGACATTTCAGAGCCTGCCAGAAAGTGATTGCTTTTTACTTATGCATTGGCCAACAGGCTGTGTTGCCAATTAATGCAGCAATTGAAATAGGATTCCAATTATTTACAGTGTAGCTATTCTCTATTTAGGAGCTCTAACTTAGCTTCTTTACCAATGAATGGTTTCCTAAACACCAGAATAGGGCAGGTATGCCATTGAGAATCCATTACTTACAAGCCAGTATATTACACTAAATTAGGAGCATATAGTTTATACTAAATGGAGAGACAAAAATATGTGAGATAATTCTGACTGTGAGAGATTTGGTTAGTGAATGAACAGGGGAATTGATTTGGTTTCTATATATACATGGATGTTTTGAAAATCTGGAAAGAAACCCATCATTCCCTATGTTTAGTTTTCCATGTTTCCTACTGCTGACAATTTGGGAGAGCATTTGGCACTTGGCTGTAACAAATCCAAATTAAATCATTGAGGCATAAATAGAAAACAATAAAAACAATTAGAAAGAAAATAAATATGTACTTTTCTTCAAAATTAAGACACATTTTACATGATAATACTTAACAAAGCTAATAATTATAAATGTATGGTACTTAAAACAGCTACAAACTTTATATGCTTTTTAACAGATAAAAGAGAATAATACAATGAAAAGGTAGTAAATATGGCCAGATAGTTTGAGGTATAAATTCCTCTGTTTTTCTTGCTTCTAAAGAAAAAAAATACCTGTTACAGATTTCTTCTGTGTAGAAAAATATCACAAGTCTTTTCCTTTGTGGCTAGTAGTGAACAGAGCCATTATGTTCATTTTGTTATTTCACTTGTTTTGCTTTTATAATAGTCAGTATATGATCCATGGCTCTAGGCTAGCTCTTCATCATTTCATGCTGAAGAATTTTAATTTCATCCATCAACTAATATAAAAAATCAATTGCAAAACAAAATAACACCCACCCACCAATCCACTAAATGATATGGGAAAATAAAGAGTTTTTTTAATTCCATTTTAAGGCATTTGTACTCATACATGAGTGTCTTATAGGGCTTGAAACTTCCACCAGTATCTCCCGCATTATCATCTGTCTGCAGAGTGATGCTACATCTTCCACAGCCACCACTTCCTTTGAGAAATAGCCTTTTACACTGGAACTGGACTATTCTTTGATTGTGTTTCTAGAGCTTTAATGCTACTGATGATCTTCTTCTGTGGCCCAACCACAGTGACACCAACCTTTTTCATGTCACTGTAAAAAAAAAGAAAATATTTGGTGAGAATCATGGTTTCCTGGATAGTATGTAAGCATGAGATTTTCAGTTAGCAAAGCTTGCAAAATCATCCATCTTAGTGGTTTGGACATAATTTTTATTTTTACATCATCCATGTATAGTATCCTGGCCATTTCCCCTCTAATATTGTAGAAGAATATAAATGTTATAGTGGGTTGAATAGTGTCCCCTCAAAATTTATGTCCACCCAAAACTACAATAGGGTCTTAGCGTATGTAATTAAGACAAAGATCAAGATGAGATAATACTAGGTTAGGGTGGACTCTAAATCTAATGAGACTATTCTTATTAGAGACAGAAAAGGACACACAGTGACAAAGAAGAGATACATATGTAGATGGAAGCAGAGATTGGAGTTATGTTGCCATAAGCCAAGGAATTCTGGGATTCACCAGAAGCCGGAAGAAGTAAGGAAGGATTCGCCCTTAGGGACTTGTAGCCCTGCTAACATCTTGATTTCTGACTTCTGGACCCCAGAAATGTGAAAAAACAAATTTTGGTTGTTTAAGCCAATACATCTGTGGTAATTTGCTATGACAGCCAGGACACTGATATAGATGGTCACGCATTCTTTGTAGGGGCATTATCCCATTCCCTTGAATCTGGGCCAGCTCCAGGACTACTTTGATTGACAGAGTATGTCAGAAGTGACACTATATCAGTTTCTACACTCGGGTATTCAGAAACTGCCAGAGTCAACTTCTTTTCCCTTGGGACACTCTCTCTGGGCCTCAAAGTGCCATATAGGAAGTCTAACTACCCTGAGACATTGGAGAGGCCAGCTGAAAGTACTTAGTCTGCAGTCTCCGCTATGTAGCCACGTGCACCATGTGACAGGAATGAAACCATCTCCAGCCCTCCAGACAAGGCCATATTCCTGTTAGATGAATACGTCAGTCAGTGCTAACACCACAGCAGAAGACCTGCCTGTCTAGCTCTGTCCAAATTTATAACCCATGACATTGTGATATGCAAGAAAATTGTTGTTTTGGTCTTTAAGTTTTAAAACATTTTGTTGTCAGCCATAGATAACTGGAACAATTTCTTAAAAGTAGAAAAAATTATAAGAATTGATTTCTATCAAAGTTACTAAATTTAAAATAGTTTAAACTCAGAAACCAGACATAAAATGAAGATTATAGAACAAAAAAAGGTCATTAAGAAAAAAATGTTATATGAACATGTGCAAATCATTAATTAAATAGTCTTGACTCAAGTAATTATTTCATATATTCACCTCTTTCAGATATTGACTCAAACTTCCCCATCTCATGAGATCTTCCTGACCCTTCTATTTAATATTGTAAAACCTCTCTATATTCATCCCTCCACTTCATATTTTATTTTCTTGTTTCATTTTCTTCCAAACATTTTTACTGTTCAGCATATTACCTTTCTTTCTGATTTATTTTCTTAATTCTCTATTTTACTCCACAAGAATGTGAATTTCATACGAATAGGCATTCTTGTTGGTTTTGTACTCTGCTTATCAACCACACTCTGAATAATGGTTATCATTTAGTAGGGGCTCAATATGTTCTTACTAAAGAATAAATCAATAGCCCCAAATACAATTATCTGGGGAAATTGATAGAAGAATAAAGTATCACTTGTCAAAGAGACCCAGGCAAACTGAGAATGGCAAGAAGAAAACACACACACACAAACACACACACACACACACACACACACACACACATGGGGCACCTTCATATTGAGCCTAAAGGAAAGAATGAGAAATTGGGAGTTTCAACTTCAACTACATAGTAATGGATTAATGATTCCTTAAGAAATGAGTTCCCAAGCAGTAAAGCTGGACAAGTAGAAAATAGATAACAATTTAAGAAACAATTTAGATGATAATTAATTATTTCCTGCATAAAATTAACCAAGACTGGTTGCATGCCTATCACCTGAGCTGGCAATGAAGTTTCTGATGATCTACAGGTCACCACCCTGATGCCATTCAAGGGGCTGATAAATTTTCTATGGACACCTTGTATTGTTCCCAAGGTCCTCTCTGATCATACTCTTCAGCTGCCTTGCTTCACCAGGAAGGCTAGTGGGAAGTAACATCAAACTTGTCACTCTTCATGTAACTGTGGATAATGAAACTTTCACTTAGAGAATATAGGCTGTTTATATTGATCCACACTTTTGAAAGAATGTCCATTCTATGGGGGATTTTGATTCTTTATATACCTTGCATCTATCTTCAAAATGAACAACAAACATTTCCATCCTAGTCTCCAAATTACTTCAAAGTCAGGTTATGAATGTACAGCCAGAAAACAAGGCAGATATAAATATATGTGTACAAATCAATAGATCCTGTCTCTTTTTATATTGCTTCTAACATCTTTCTTCCAATTCTACATCATATTTTTAAGACTCGCTAATATTTCTCTCTTGCTTTTCTCTTTTTTTAAAAGCTCAAAAAAGATAATAATGGATAGCAGGAAAAAAAGAATGTTTCAAGATCGTATACTAATTTCCTGAGCTCTTTGAGCAATTTAAGCACAATGACAGAGTAATATGACACAGTGCCATGCTATGACTCTTGGCTCTGACCTCCCTCTGGAGCACCTGGACCTCAGCAGCCAGGTAAAAATCAGATGCTGAGCATTCACAGAACTCTCTGAAGGGCCAGCCCAACTCTGGGGCTCTTGATTCAGTAGGAAGGACTGTATGTTCCAAGCTCACACCTCAAGAAATCTTCATAAAACTTTAAGATTCCATGTCTCAGAACCCAATATAAGCAACATTTTAATAATAAACATAATTCTATGTTTAATGCCAAGGATTATATTGGAAAAGAGAATTAAAGCAATGATCCCTTTAGGTTATGCTTTAGCTTGGGTTTTTTATGGACTCTCTACTCTCTCTACCTCCTCCATAATGTCTTCTATCCACCACCTTGCCATGTACAAAATTGTTCTAAACATACAGCTGCTATAGTCTCAATAACACTCCCCACATGCTTATATCATCTTGACTACCCTGTTCAGAAGGGCAGTGGATAAGTTCAAGACCATAGGTCAACTCAAGATTGAGACCAGAGGTTAATGAGCTATATGGTACTTCAAAGGAAAAAGGATAGGTGATGACACTTGGAAAATGGCCTCCAAGAGTACAGGATAATGACATGTTGCAATGAATCTGCCTAATATTCATTACACACACTTTATTCTCTCTCCAGAGTCTATGGTCATTTTGCCCCCTTTCTCATTCTCTCTTCCCTTCTTACCTTAACCTTCTGAAATCTATCTTACAGTATTAAATAGTATTTTTAAAAATATGTTATATATACTGAATTAAATTGCATATTTTCTGGATTTCATCTGAAAATGAAATGACTTGAGCAGCTTGCTGTAAATGAAATCCTGAACTAACTGAAATAAGTTAATATTTAAGTTTGAAGCCCATTGAACTTTTTCTGTGATTTGATAGTATGGATAGAAAAAATAATTTAATGTCCCTTTTTAGTTATCACTATCTTATTTTAGAAGACTCTCTGGAGTTATTTAGTCAAGGGAATAATTTCTGAATTGAGTCTGAATGGCACAAAGAAAATAAGGATTGAAAGAAATCAAATTCAAACAATAATCTTAGGACTGAAAAAAGGATGAAATACTGGGTTAAATATTTTAAAGGATTTAAGATATCATTGTTGTCTCATTAGAATTCCCCAAATAATTAGTTTATTAAATGGTTTTTTTAATTCTAATTTTTGTAGTATAAACTATGGGCAGGAGGTACACCACACTGAGATCTAAGAAATAATTCTTTTCAAGGAATTTCAGGCCAATAGATCTTAATTCTATCTTGTTCATGAGTTCAGGAGAAAGGACTGAAGAATGATAACTGTGGAGTTTGAAATGCAGAGAGATCTGAAACCATGTGACTCAGTGTGAAGAACAAACCTGAAAGAGGTGAGTCTCAGGAAAGTCAGTTTTCATCTTGAATGTACAGATTGTTTAAATAATAATAATAACTATCAAGTGAAAGCATTCTAACCAGCAAAAAAGAGCTTACTGTCCAACACTGTATGGTTGAGACAAATATATTTCTCAATTGGAAATGTAACAAATGCTGCCACTTCACCTTTTTAAGCAAATAGCTTTCTTAACATATTCACAACTTACAATGTCTGACTATATTTAAATTGTGAGCTGGCAGTTAATCATATTAACAATGTTCTGCCTCATCCACTTCATTATTTAAAAGCTATAAGTGTTGATATTTTATTGAAAATACACATGTATAAAATGTTGCTTTTGAAAATCTGGCAATGGTGCGGAAATATTCAACTGTGTTTGCTCTCCCCTATGCTTCTGTGCCCTAAGGTGTCTTGTATATCATAACCCCAACTGTTTATATTAATAAAATAAGAATTAAAATATTTAAATATATTAATATATCCTGTGATTGTGTATGATCAAAATAACTACTACCAAAAGACAAAGCGTGTTGCAGATTGAGTCAGAAGTCTATTCAATAAACAGTAAATTTCCCTTTAAGCAGGAATGCCAACACAGGTTAAATAGACTAGAATAAGCTTATTTCTTAAAAACAATTTTCCTCTTCCATAGTAATAAATGAGGTCCTTTTGTGACTTGTTGTGTTTCTGATTGGAATATTATGCCATGAATGATCAACTTCTTTACCTACTTACTAGGCACTTATATCTCTACTAATTGCACTCCACATTCCTTTTTGATAGCTCATCTGTAGCTCTCCACATTGGCTTTGTTTAAATGATTGACAAGATGATAACGAAAGTTTTAAATATTCAACAATATTTAAATATTCAACAATATTCAAATATTCAACAATATTTAAATATTCAAATATTGGTAGGAGAGGTTAATGTAAAGGAAATAGAGGGCAACAAAGAGATTGTTTTAAGAAACAAAGATGAAAGATATAAGATTCTGGAACAAAGATGGACACAGTTTGCAAACAAACTGTACAAGCTACAAAACTATGTATAAGTTGGTGTATCTGGCCAACACAAAAACTTTTTTTTTGGAACAGTTCTCTATTTTACCCTCAGGAAAAGGCTCCTAGAGCCAAGTTCATGCCATCTTACTTCACCTCTTTTGAACAGAAATAGTTTTATAATGGAAAACATATGACTCTGAAGGTGCCATATACAAGTAGCACTGAGCCCATCCAAATTTTCTTTTCAGGGCTTGGAGTTAAGAGAGTTGGGCCCTAGTCAGTTGAGTAGCAAACTAAGATTGCATGACTGAGGGCTGAGAAAGCCATTTTTATCTATGGTCATGGGAGAGCAGCAAAAGTCACTGTGCAGAGAAAGAAAAGAAGTAGGTTATATTAAGAAATGAAGTAAATTGACTCTCATTCACAGAGAAAAGTATATGGCTTCTAGTTCTTTACTGCCAGTTCCCAGTTACCATAGCTTGTGAACAAAGGTGACGGTTATTGACTAGTCACTGGATTCACTTGGTAAACGCCCTTCCATTAAGCCCATGTGTTTCCCCAGTCAAAGAATTGCTATTATTTAAAGATCTCTGTCTAAGAAATTCATCATATTATATTTAATTATTATTGCCTTTTAACACATCAAACCATATAAATTATTTATATTCTGTTTTTCCAAGCTGAATATAAGCTTTTTAAGGAAAACAATAAAGTAATACCTTAAACTTATTTGTAACTTCATTTGCAAAGATGAAATTCTTCATAGACTCAATCATAGATGATAATATGCTTATTTAGCAGCTGTGAAAGCTGCTTCTGACTTTAGCATGTCTCCCTGTATATCAGCTTACCCACTTTTCCATTTCCACAGAAACTAGGTTTTGTTAAAAGTAACAGAAAACACAAAATCATCATGCCCTATCTGCTCATGTTTTTAGTTAGGGGCTTGGGTCTGTGTATCTGTTGGTCTATCTGAAGTAAGAAGACACACCAATACACATAAACCCAAAAGGTGTTATTTATAAAGAGAGAGACCCAGGAACCAGTTCAGTGGTTACAGGGAACAGTAAGTACCTCAGAGGTTCAACTAATCTTTATAACACATTAATCCAAAATATGTATGCTCAGTAGAAAGTTTAGAATCATTCAGTCTTCCTAAAAACTTTTTCTTACTCTGTAGAAATCTTGGCTATGGTGTCACAAGAACTGTATTCCACGCCTGTGAAGATTTCTTTGCACTGTGCTGTTCGAACACCATTAAGCCAGTCACTTGTTGTGCGGAAGGTAGTGATGTCAACATTGCTTTGGTCCAGAAGAAGGTTTGATGGCCTGCAAGAAAAGTTAATATCAAAGGGAGAGAGGACAGGAGTCAATAGAGTTTCTGGATGTCAAGATTTGACACCTTTTTAAATCCCTGAAACTTGGCCCATGAAATGCATAAATATGTCCATACATACTTTACTAATTTAATTCATTTAACCATTAGCAAAGATGATCTTAATTTAGGATACAATTATTACAAACATGATGCACTGAATAAGTTATTGTCTACTTTAATGATGGATTTGGTTTTCCATATTAAATCCTGACCATTGTTCAGGTTACTGCCTATCTAAACAACAGTTTGGACAACATAAACTATACTTATAGCAAGACACTAAGTGAGCACAGATTTAAATAATGTCACAAATGTCATTAAAAATAACAAAAAGAGTGGAAAGCAGTGATGAGTAACAAATGAAATCATTGCATATGTGACAACACCAAAAGGAGAGTTCATTATATATATTGAGTTATGCTTGTATATGTAGAGTTTAATATATATATATCCATTATCTATCTATATACTATATAGTATATATATAGAGAGAGAGATAATGGATTAATGAATAATAAAAAGAGAGAGACTTTTTCATCCTACTTATTTCACTAAATATGATATGATTTCACTCATAAGTGGGATCTAAAATAGAAAGTAACCAACAAGACAAAAAACAAAAACTCATAGACACAGAGAACAGTATGGTGGTTACCAAAGTGATAGGGGATTACAGGAGAGGTAGAGGAGGGTAAAGAGGGTTAAATATATGGTGATGGAAGCAGACTTAACTTTAGGTGGTGAACACACAATGCAATATACGGATCATGTATTATTAGAATTGTACACTTGAAACCTATATAATCTTATTAATCAATGTCATCCCAATAAATTTAATAAAATTAAAAAAGAGAGAAATTAATTGACTGTTACTGTGATTTGTATTGCACAATATAATCAGCATTAAGAAGACTTTCTAGCCCAGCCATTGTGGATCAGTGGTTGAGTGTTGACCCATGGACCAAGAGGTTGCCAGTTCGATTCTGGGACAGGGCACATGCCCTGGCTGCAAGCTTCATCCATGTTGGGGGGTGCGCAGGAGGCAGCCAATCAGTGATTCTCTCTCATCATTGATGTTTCTATCTCTCTCTCCTTCTCCCTTCCTCTTTCTGAAATCAATAAAAAACATTTTTTTTTAAAAGAGAAGAACTTCTAGCATTGTTTTATATAATTACAGGCCTAACCATAGATCTATTACCAACTGTCATATGGTGAACAAAACGGATGTAAAAGAAATGGAAGAGAGCATATTTTCACCCTAGAAGAGCTCAAAGAAGCAGCCTTTTGGTGAATTGCCCTTGGGGTAAATTTTTCAGCTCTCAGTAACCTCTTTAATTCTCCTTTAACTCATGAGACTGGAACCAGTCCCCAGGTGGACAATTGTCCTATTACTTCATCTTAGAAAGGTCCCTGGGTTCAAATAGTCCAAATATTAATTTGTACTTTTAGTCTATAGGATTAATACATGAAAAATACTACCATATTTTCTTGCTCCAATAATTTTGTTGTAGTTGTATTGTTAATTACCCTTCTTACCTCAGTAGCTTAGCTGGTAAGGGTTTGAATCATGCAGAAGAGCTGGATTTATATTAAGTATGTTTAAAGAAGAATAGTCCTTCTTAGGAAAATGAACAGAGGACAAGTTGAGAATGAGATCTCTGGATGCATGGTGCATTAATTAATATGTTAGCAAACTTTTAGGATCTTTTTGATGTGGATCAAATGTCTCCAAGGACATTTTGGACAGTATCATTGTCTTGTAAAGTGTCATAACCTAATTTTTATCTTACAACTGAGAGGGTACATTTAGATTTTTGCCTCTTCTGAACATTTTATATTTTGTGATACTGCAGTAGCATTTAGTCAACATTGAGCTCTTGAAAACTTTAAACATTATTTAAAGTTAGTGACTATTAGAATATTTTTAAACCAGAACTTCACATTTTCATATATATTGAAAATTAATAATTGGCCTAAATGAAACCCATCTTTTGAAATGTTTTTTAAGTTCAAAATTTATAATTATTTTTCAAAAGACACCAAAACTAACCAAAAATACATTAACATGAATTTATCATTATTTTAGAAACAAATTAGCTTTTTAAGGTACCAATTCCAATATTTTTAGAAATAGCATGAAATAATAGCAAATGATCTATCCACACACACATAAACTGTATAGTGTTTTACCTGTGAATACCAACCCTGAATATCATCTAGGATATGTGGTAAAAGCTTTTGTTCTCCTGAGAAAATGTCTCTGTGAAGTACATCCATATATATGATAACTGTACCCATTATTTAAAAGGAATTTTTAATTGGGTAATTTCTATTACCATGATGACATTTTTTCAACTCACTCCCTGACATATAGGAGACATGTATAAGTGTGAGGTCAAGATTTTTAAATCTGAAAACTTTTATATCATGCTCTAGACATGCATCCTGTTGTGGGGACACATGAGAGGAATGTAATTGACTATTTGAATTTTGTTGGAGATACATAAACCTATTTGGTAAATATGGTCAAATTTTAATGAAATTATAATGCTGAGTTTAAGAAAAAAATAGTAATGTGACAATTTGGTTTGCCCTCTATATTTATCCTCTGTGGAAAATACAAATCAGTTGCTAGTTCTCTCACTGGCAGAATCATTTGTGAAGTGGAGGACAGCTGAAAGTGGAGGACTTTTCAATTATCTTTCCCTTAGACTAAATCAACTACTTAAATCCTCTCTACTTTAAGCATTTTTTAAAAATATGTTTTGTTGATTTTTTACAGAGAGGAAGGGAGAGGGATAGAGAGTTAGAAACATCGATGAGAGAGAAGCATCTATCAGCTGCCACTGGGGATGTGCCTGCAACCAAGGTACATGCCCTTGACCGGAATTGAACCTGGGACCCTTCAGTCCCCAAGCCGACGCTCTATCCAGTGAGCCAAACCGGCCAGGGCTCTACTTTAAGCATTTTGATTATAAATTAAAACTTAAAATTATGGAGTTTATAATTTATGTTTATGTCTTATGGTTTAATATTAACTAACCTTCAGAGGTTATCTTTTTAAGAAAAAGGTAGAGACAAAAGAGGCATTATTTTAAAAATCATTAATTTTCTTTCCTTTAGGAATATAGAAACTATTAAATATAAATATAACATTTTGTAAATTATTTTCTTATGGAATATATATAATTTTCTATAATCCTTTAAATCTTTAAATTACTCATCAGATAAAGATAAACCAGTTAATTTTAATAATTGAAAATATCTTGTTTTTGTTTGTTCCTTAGAACTTTATTTTAATAACTGAAAATCTCTTGTTTTTGTTTTTTCTAAGAATTTGAGGAACCCAGTTTCCAAAACTTGCATGATATTCTTGGGTTGTTTTGGCATGGTCATCATGGCCAGCCTTTGTCACTAGCCAGAATTAAATATAACATTGGATCCATTGGAAAAATCATTGAGTCAGTAAACAAAATTGATAGAAATAACAATAAATCTTATGTGAGAAAATTTTATAAGAAAAATGAAATGAGACCTAGAAAGAAGACAATATTATATTAAAATATCTACAGACATGCTCCCCTCCCCCCCTCCCCCCCATACACCATACCCCACAGCTTGGATTTCCACAGTAGCTGTACATAGACTCTAATGTCAACTGTTGTAGACTCTTGGACTCATGAATAGCAATACTTTTTATTTATGGGTTTGTGGGTCTAAAGAATCAAACCCCAGGACATTTATTCAGAATATTTATGAAGCATGCCTAATAGCAAAATGTAGTTTTTCTTTCTTCTCAATTCAAAATGGGTTGTATTTTAAAATTCAACACTATAGCCAGACTCAACAAGAGTTTAGAGAAAATTAGTATAAACAGATTGAAATAGAACAGGATGTGAGGATTAGGGATTAGAGTGACCCCAACCGAGCTTTTCTGTTTATTACTTGGATCAAAGTGCAAGGAAGACAGAGAATGACCTAATTTTAATGCCAGTGACCTCAGACTAACCAGCCCTGCAAAGTATCATTTTTCCACTTCCAGGATTTCTCTGGGGAATCGGAATAAAATTGGTTCCTTTCCTCCTCGGAGAGGACATCTGGAGAGTTTATCAATGGCTAGGAATTTGTCTCTCACTGCGAAGAGCCTGTGATGTCTCTTCATGCTCACCGAGGGAATGTGGGCTTTCTGAGCAGCTGCAGGCATTGGCGTTTTTTTAGACCCAGCCCCAGACATTGGGTCTGAAGGGGAAATTTATAGGCTGGGTGATGTGCACCGTGAGCTCACACTTTTACTAGACAAATTAGATAGGTTTCAATCCGTGCAGCTGTAAACGATGTCCTGCAGAGTTCCACCTGATCTTTTACAGCTTTTCATAAATCAGTACCTACTGGCTGCAGAACACAGTCATTAAAAAGAAATCATGGAAATTATATGTTTGCTCAGGGGAAACAAAAAAATAACTTTCCTCCCTTCTCCTCTCCCTCCTTGTATTTAGGTTCGTGAATTATTCTTTTGTGGATATCCATACTGTTGCATTACAGGTACATCTATATTTTCTTCCCATCAGTTCTTATTTTATCTGTAAATGCTTTCAGATCAATTAGTCCCAGATACTGGGAAACAAATATCAATAAGCCAGTCCCAAGAATATCTTCTCATAATGATCTTATTTCATTTTGCGTTAGGATTCTAAACTATGGGGATTGAATGCTCAGTTATCCTTCTGTAACATAAGAAGGCTCCTTTTGGTTTAAAAAGGGCTTTATTTTTCATGTATTAAAATAATGGTTAATACACATTTTTGAATGAATAAGTAGATGCTTACTGAATCTCGAAATAGTAATAATACTGGGGATGTATGCTATACCACTGTACTTATATGCATTTTTCTGTTGTGAATAGTTTCTGAACTATATTAATTCCAAAGAGTAATTTCAAAAAGAAATATTA